GCGGTAGGGAAGTCTGAAGAGCGGACAAGGTTGGGAAAGAGCCCTGGTGGCAGAGGGGCTCATCAGATGCACAAAGGGACGGGGACCAAAGACAGCCGCTAAGTGAAAAGTTTTAGTCCACGGTCATCTGCTTCCAAGGCAGGACAGCATGGCAGAGGGGCATCTCAGAGGAGAAATTTTCCATGGCAGGACAGCAGGAAGCAGGGAGGGATCAAGGGAGAAGGAGGGTTCTATCTATAGCTGTCCTTCCCAGCCACACCCCCAGTGACCCACCTCTTCCCACCAGCCTTCTCCTCCCAACCCCACACCCAGCAATAAACACATTGGTGGGGGACCGGGGATATAGCTCAGTGACACAAGTGCCTGCCTGGCAGGCTCAAGGTCCTGAGTTCGATTCCCAGTACCAAAAAAAAAAAAAAAATAACACATTGGTGGACTAATCCAGTGACAAGTATCACATACCCATGACCCAGTCACCTCCCCCAAAGCCCTGCCTGTGAACACATGAGACTTTGGGGGACATTTAAGATGTAACCCTAAAAGGAGGGATCTGTGGCCATTCACAGAATGGTGTGCTGGTGTCTTAAATTTCAGAGCTGATAAAATGCCAAATGCTGATAATCACCACAGTGTAACCCTGGGAAGAAAGTAGCTTCGATGGAGTCAAGATAAAAGTTGTCAGAAGGAGATAAAAAAAAGCTTGGAAGAAACCAGAAATATTGGTTGCTGAAGGGGAAGGGTGGGAGTAGAAGGAGGCCCTCACCATGCACTTTTCATATTTTTGAAGTTTGAATCATGTAAGTGATTCTATGAGGAGTCAGGCATGGTGATGCATACCTGTAACTCCAGCACTTTGGAGGCTGAAGCAAGAGTATCTCTGCAAGTTTGAGGCCAGCCTGGGCTACACGGGGTGGGAGTGGAGGGTTCAAGGCCCGCTTGAACTACAGAGCAAGACCCTGTCTCAAAAAAAAGAAAGATTCTCCAGGCATGGTGACGCACACCTGTAATTCCTGCACTCGGGAGGCTGAGGCAGGAGGATCATTGGGAGTTCGAGACCAGCCTGGGCTACAAAGTGAGCTCAAGTCCAGCCTAAATTGATAGCGAGACCCTGTCTCAAAAAGACAGAAAAAAAAAAAAGATTCTACAAAAAAAAATATACACATAAGAGTACATATTGATGTAGATGTAGATATCACACTCTTTTTCCCTACTGTGTAGACGGAGTCACTTGCACAAAGGCAGGCTGAGAGAGCCTGAGCGAAGTACCCCAAGCACCTGGGAGTGGCGGGGTCTGAGAACAGCCTCGCTGAGGCATGGAAGAGGATAGTCCCGTCCAAGCTGCCAGTGCAAGGACAGCCTGTCACCGTGTCCCTGTGCCAGGCAGGGTCTGGGAGGGTGCGGAGGACGGGAGGAGAGGAAGGCGCTGGGCTGCAGAGAACTGGATCTCCTCCAGGTAGGAGAGGCCTGAGTGTGTCCCGGGGCTGAGCTGGGAGCTGCGAGGCCCCGGGAGAGTGAGCAGCAGCCGAGAGGTGGTGTGAGCCACGGAGCGGCAGGCACTTGGCCCTCACAAGATTTCTCCTCTGGAACAGCGAGCCCTGCCAGTGGCGGTGCCGCCTGCAGTGGTCCTGAGGGCAGCGCAGAGCGAAGAGCGAGGCCCTGGCCATCTGGCTGTGACGAAGGACAGTTTCGGCAGCCTGTGGACAACTCCAGGTTGACTTCCTCCTTCCTCGCGCTTGCAGGGGGCCATAGTTATCCAGCCCGTGCTGAGCAGCCAGAAACACTCGGAGCATCTCGGAGACACCTGACCTCTCCCGTGCTGTGTGATGGAGGCCACCGCTCCCTTCCGTCAGTGACCAAGAGCGGCATCGCAGCCCTAGCCTGCTCTCCAGGCGACGCACACAAACTCCCAGGAAGCGGCTCGGGAGCGCCAGGCTGGGAAAGGCTTCAGAGAGAGAATTCCGAACCCTCTGGGCCTGGACGATGCAGACCTGGACAGGAAGCTTGACCTTCTGTCTCTAGCTCTTCCCTGCATCTGTATTTCTAAAGCCCGCTAAGAATTGAGAATCATCTGCTCCTGACACTCAGCCAAGGCACTTTGCCCTACACACTTAGGACCAGAAGCGCCCCTTGTCTTATGCTGGCAGGAGCTAGGGAACAAAGGACAAGCACCCATAAGTCCTGCTGGGCGTGGCGCCACCTGCCTGTAATCCCAGGCTGAGGCAGGAAGATCGCCATGAGTTCAGGGCCAGCCTGGGCTACATAGTGAACTCAAGGCCAGCCTGAACACAGCGAGATTCTGTCTCAAAACACACAAAAACAAGGCTGGGCGTGGTGGTGCATGCCTGTAATCCCAGCACTCGGGAGGCTGAGGCAGGAGGATCGTTGTGAGTTGGAGACCAGCCTGGGCTACAAAGTGAGTTCAAGGCCATCCTGAACTGCACAGGGAGACCCTGTCTCAAAAAGACAAAAAAACAAAACAAAACAAAACAAAACAAAACCACAAAAACAAAAACAAGAGCTGTAACTATGGACGTGCACTGGAAGGGTTCATCAGCTTTCAACCTGAGCCAGCAAGGGCGTCCGGTCCTGCACCACAGGCTGAGGTTAGGGCCCCATCCCATCCACACTTTTAGAAAACAGAAACAGCAAGAAGGGGACAGGACTTAAAACCCTACACACTCTCATTCCTGACCAGACAGCTTTTTGTATTTCTCGCTGGAATGTGAACATTCTTTTGAGAAGTCTGGCAGTGAGGAAGAGATCAGATAGGAAAACAACAGTCTTGAAAGTCCTTCTGAAAAGCTGAGTCTGTGTCCCAAATAAGCCAAAGGGAAACGAGCACCCACTGCCTCGGCGCCTGCTGTACACCAGGCCCACTTACACCTGTGAGGGAGCCAGCCCTTCAGGTTAAAGCCGAACTTGCAGTGACGCTGAGAAGGCAGTAACTCGCCCGAAGGCCTCCTGCATAGGGCTCCCAGGCTCGGTGTGTTTGATACACAAGCCTATGTCCTTCCTTGAATTCTACGAAGAAGGCATCTTAAAAATCAAACCTAGGTCAGGGAATAAAAGACTATAAAAAGGAGGGCTGGGGTTTTGGCTCAGAGGCACAGCGCCTGACTAGCAAGTGCGAGGTCGTGAGTTCGATTCCCGGTACCAGAAAAAACAAACAAAAAAAGACTGTAAAAGGATAGCTAGGACTCCACGGAAACTGCCCCCATCCCTAGGGTTTAGGGATTAAGTTAAAGTCATGAATAAGTTTTTTTTTTTTTGTACTGGGAATCAAACTCAGGACCTTGCACTTGTCAGACAGGCGCTTAGGCCACTGAGCTATATCCCCGGCCCATGAATAAGCATTTTATGGGTGGATGCTGTCCAAGCAGGAAGGAATAACTCCAAAGCCAGTCATTTATTGCATGATTTATTTGCAAAACACAGCCCATCGGGGCTGGGGATTTAGCTCAGCGGCACAGTGCCTGCCTGGCAAGCGCAAGGTCACGAGTTCGGTGCTCGGTACCGGAAAAAAACAAAAAAAAAAACCACAGCCCATCACGCACTTCCCACTTACGAGGCTTACGCTCTCCTGGCGGGAAGCAGGTACTGAACACACCGCACAGCGGGCAGCGGCGTCAGAATTGCGATGTGAAGGGAAGGTGCATCCTCACGGAGGACGTAGTTAGTGTAACTGGCAGAGAACACGGGCATCTTCACAAGGCCTTGGAGAGTGGGTGCAGCACCATGGATGCCAGGGAGAAGGCCGCTCACGGCCGGCGGTCCTAGGCGCTGGTACTGAAGCCCAAAGACTGCAGCTGAGCTTGGGAGTGACAGAAGGAATTGGAGATTTTGTTCAAGGCGGTAGAGCTTTTGTGGAGAAAAAGAGACCAGGGGTGGCAGGGGCAGAGGTAGGGTGAAGATGAAAGATAATGCAACCATACTGACAGCCAAGATCGCATAACTAGAATTACGCCCTGGATGGACCTTAAGAGGTGAAACGGGCGTGGTCCTCGATGGCACAAGCGGAGGCCTTTACCAGGAGAATCAACGGGAGGCGCGGGGTGACCTCCACGGATCCTGACCCCGAGTGGAACAACGCTAACGGCGCTGCATCGGGGGGCTTTGTGCACAGGGCCATCACGTTTCTAACCAGGAGGAACGGGGTGCTTACTAGGTTCACAAGACTTGCAGAAGTCTGGAAGGGGCTGGGCAGCCACGCGCAACTTAGCAGAGGATGCACGCGTGGGCAACAGCCATGGAGAGCTGGGACGGCGCGGGCTGGTCTGGGCCTGGGAGGGCCGCCGCTGCACCCCGGGGCCCACCCCGCAAGGCTGGGCGGGAG